AGGAGTAGGCGAATTAGCTTTATTAGTAAAGTTACAAGAGTCCACAAAGCTACGACAGCCGCGAACGATACAAGTTTATGTTCCACCATTTTGGTTGTTTCTCGGATTTTATCCCGGTAGACCGGGCTGAAATTTTCCATATGAACGGACAACAAAATTCGTCCCGGTAACCGAGCCAGCCCGGTTACTGGGCTCATATGAAGAGGCCCTTAGTTTAGTTCACGTAAAGTAGATGTCGAGGAGATTACGTCCAGATATATCGTTTCACGAGGAAATTCCGACCCTTTGTTTCAAGTAAAATGAACTCTCGAAGCTTCCCATTTCAATATAGCTTTGGATTTTTGTTTTGGCATCATTTGAATTAAGGGTCATGACTGACATTTTCGAAGTGTTTCACGACCAGTTCCAATACCACAGAGACATTAAGAGTGTTGATCACTTTCCGGGAAGTCTCCAAATCAATATCATGGTAAAAAAACTGATGGTGTGAGCATCTCAACTTCTAAGGTAAATATCACTCAAAATATAGCGTACCAAAACAAAGGCAAAGTTACTGTAAACTGCAGATAAGATAAACTTTATGTTTGCAAACGAAGCTGTATTTCATGATAACAGTAAAGTTTAATAACTAAAAAAACCACAAACAAATAAAAAACAAAAAGTTGCTTGTAGCCAACTCCACACATGTTGAGCAACAACTGTTGCTTTTCCTTCAAAGAAAAAAAAAAAGAACCTTACAAAACAAAATGTGAGGTCAGGTGTGTTCATGTGCCAGTTTTGAAACAAGATTCTCCGTGGGTTGCTCATGCGTAGAAATCCAACGAACGCCTGTTGCTAGCGTGACGCCAGGGAATGTCACGCACAAGTTTCACTGGAGGCACGCAGTGCCTATAAACCCACATAGTATTTCTTATGTTTTGGAATAGTTTCCTTTTACTTTTTACTCTTTGTTCTTTTCCGCCCTCGACAGAATTGTTAACTGAAATAGTATTTCCACAGAATCACTTAGAATGTATTGGAAAATGGTATATTCAAACGAATCAAACTAAAAACAGTCAATCTAAAAATTGTAGTCTAGCTAAAGACATCAGGATTTGCAAACAACAGTTATGATAATAAAGGCTTGCAAAATTAGAAATTGGGTGGAATAGCAAATGGCATAATGATGACTAAATTAATTTGGCTTAAAAATTTAAGATGGAACACGATTGCAGTTGTTGATATAGCCAGGTAGTGCCTTATTATATTACGATTATATTGTTATCATATTATGGGTATTGGGTGAGAATTCAACGTTCCTACTAAGCTCTTCTTGTTATTAGTGGTCATCTGTGCGTTCTAAACGTTGCCAGATTTGTGTCCATCACTGGACAAAGTGTAATGTCCTTGAAGGACAATTGAAGAGAAACAAACACTTACGAAATACTTCAGCTTATCTGCACCTGATAAAGTAATGTCATCGTTGATTTCACCGAAATGCAGCTTTCCAAAGCCTGCAATATAACGATAAGCTAGTCTTGTTCTCAGACGAAAATGGAAACTGGAAATGATGGCGACAGAGCAACTAACCATCAAGGAGACAACATGATACATCAAATCCTACGGATTATCTGCGCTAAAAAAAACCTAAACGTTTTGACTTGAATTGCTTTTAGGGCTGTGACGGTTTATTTAATCATTTCTTGTTTGGGCATTGTTTATAAATGACACAAAATTTTCACTAGAACTTGCTGAATATAGCCAAGAATCAATATCAACTATTTTAATTAAGCATTATCGGTGGCTTTATAATTCCGCCCTTTGCAGTAAAACGCTATTTTAGTGATATCAAATGAGCAAAGTTCTGAAAATACATCCGATTTAAACTGATCACGAATCAGTTAATCTGCTAAAAAGTGCATTAGTTCAAAATAATATTCAAACGACAACCCTTAATTAATTATTCAAGTACAACACTTGGAAAATGACTGTGTGAACCCGTGTCTTGCAGTTTGATCTACTTTCCGTGAGACTGGTCACTTCAAATTGATAGCAATGAACAATAATACATTTTACAAGGCCTTATCGCCATTGCACAAAAGAAAACTGATCCGAAGGCAATATTTCTTAGCGTAACTACAATTCAACATTTGCCGCTTACTAATTTTCCGTTAGATTAATCAAGTGACGCATTTAGTTGACAAAAGCAGGTTAACAGGTGTTGGACTCCTGCGGGCAAAGTAATTAGTAATACTTCTTGTATAAATCCCGAAATAAGATTTTTCCTTGTCCACTGTTGCAAAGTCTGCATGATGCTTGTCAGTAGATACCAACACTGGGATACTTAATCATCATTGATCCTAGTTAACCAGCTTGTCTAGCTGATCTAATCCAGTCAGCTTGTAGACGGCAGTATCGATCGATAATGCAAGGAGGCTGAATTTTACGTTAGGAAACTTCACATGAATAAAGACTTGAAGATAATGGTAGCAATTGTTTTAATGAAGGGAAATTGCGAAGTAATATTATTTTTAGTTCTTATAAAGCAAAGAATTTGCTGCGAATTCTTTCCAGACAGCTGAAATCAGAGCACTTGATCGATTCCCAGATGTGAGTAACATTCGAGCAGGCGAGGGACTTGAAAACCTTAGTGAATGCGGTTTATTGCAGAAAGGAAAATCATTGTAACGCCACTTAACAACCGAACGGACGCCTTTCAGCAGCTGAGAGCGGACGAGAGAATTGTCTCTGCTAAGGTTAGACAATATGGCTTAGCTTCCTTCAGCACAGCTTTTGGTCATTGATAAAATCTCTCAACAATTAGTCCATTTCAGACTGGCTGTCACTTCGGCTGCCACAGGTTATATTACAGAAGGTCTCTCTTCGTCTTAGCTGTCATCTTTAGAGCAATCGAAAATTACATAACAACGTTCTCCACGATGGTGGTTTGGAACATAAGAGTGTTTGTCGCTTCATAACGTTATTGAGTAAGGTTTTCAACTGTAAAGTGCCCTCGAATCATCTACACCTCTTTCTGCTTCCTACATTTGCCAACCTACCACTGACGGGCTATTCGTAAATCACATGCACCATTCATTTCTGGTTGTTTATTTCTTATACCAACCGTGCAACTGAAGGTTGCTGTCAATACAGCTACCGATCGGGAACTCTTTCTCGCCATACATACTCTATGGGTATTAGTGCTGGTAGGACTTACCTTTGCCTGGTTTTGAGGAACTGATTCTGTTTGGAACTCGCTGTTCTCGGAAGACTGTGGCTGATGATATCTACGAATTAAGAAATTGGCATTTATTAAGCGTCACGGCACAAGGCTCAATTCAAAACCTTGCTCTAATTGAACGTAATTTATATTGAATAGCCTCCGGCATAAGACGAATTATTGGTGCGCTCTAACTAACGTGCAAATATTTATATCCAATTTAAATTAAACGCAATACTTGCGATCGAAATATAAATAAAATAGCGCGCCATTGGCAAGAATTCGACGAGACGGGTTTGATGGTGATGGCTTCTCGAAAAAGAACATCCGTTCAAGAAATGTTAATTTGGTTTTTTGAAATTCCTAGGTGAAACAAAATGCACATGAAACCCATTTTTCTCAGCTCTGTTATTGTAGCAAGCATTGTGATTCTTTGATAAAGGATGTGAGACATTATTGAAGTATAAAAACTGTTTAAAGTAACACCCGGATCTCTTCATGTGTTGTGTGCACGAGATGATAAAGTTGTGTTCATGTCCCCTTTAACTAGAACAAAAAGTGGTTTCATTTACAATTTTTGCAACTAAAAAGTACTCAACCTTCTCGAGTATATAAAACAAACAGTGTCCGATCATTATAGGATTAGGGTTAAGGAGTTTGTTTTGTCTTGTTTGCATTTCCAGTTCACTGACGCGGGTGGCAAACAAAACGTATCGAACACTGAAGCGAATGGGTAAAACTATAGCTTAGCTATATTTCGCGTCGGTTATTCACTAAGATTTATCTACTGCTTCTTAAACAGCTGTCATTGCTTTTTAAGAATGCTCCTTCTTAAGAGTATCTCTTGTAGTACTAAGAGAGTTAATTAACTTCTCTGATATAGTCGGCTTTCTTTGCTCAATTTTTGAGGTCGGAGGTCAGCCTCAAAGGAGGCCGATCAATCTACTCCAAGTAACACGCTCGCGCTAGTTTTAACTTTCATCTAGAAATTTGTTTTTCAGCAATAGATAAACGGACTCCTTGGTGCAATGATGTGTGCAATGATATCTGATCTGTTCAGTGGTTGAGGAAAGGGCAGAACATAATAGAGTTTTAATCGCGGTTTTGCCGACTTATTTCGCCTCACAGCGGGGAGCAATCAACGATACTAGCTAATGAGAGGGCGCGAAAAGAACGTGGCGCCAGCTCTTTAGCGTTTGAAGACGTGTCTAACGAGGCGTCCAAAACATGGACATTCTTGCGGTTATTAAAAGGTGCTTCACTTGTCACTTCCAAGACCTCTGGTGTGTTTATCGCCAGTTACCAATTAATGTGGAACAGAGAAGACGTAGTTGAGAAAAAACTAACAATGCGATGAAAAGTCTATCTAACATGTGATTGTGCATTAGGACCCATTAGGTTCTAAATTTTCATCGCATTGTTAACGTAATTCATTGCGACTTGGTGGCCGACCCATGATTGCTGCAGCATCTGCGGCATTAATGATCTAAACCAGGAGCCCTGTCTAAACTGAAAAAAAAAGGTAAAGTTTGCATACGAGCCAAGTGGCCCATCAGGATCGGCGCGTGTATCTCCGGTTTCTGTAGCATGAAGCGACTAGAGGTATTTCTACTCCACCCCTGGATGGGCTGCTAGTCCATCAGATGGAGGAGAGAGACACTCTGAGAGTAAAGTTTCTTGTCCAAGAACACATCACAATGTCCCCCTCTAGGGCTCGAACCAGGACCGTTCGATCCGGAGTTGCGTACACTAACCATGAAGCCACTTCACCTCCCACTTTTCACGTTTTCAGTTTTTCTTTTGCTACAATGAAAACTTGATCAGGAATTGAAACATTATGGAACGACAAAGGCAAACTATCCATTCTTTTCATTTTGTTTTATTCCTTTAAGCCTCGGGGCCAAATAGAATTTTAATATATCGAAATTGGTCTATTCTTTTTCTGATCTTCGCCAAATTACGTGNGGGGGGGGGGGGGGGGGGGGGAAGAGAGGGGGTTACTGTCGAGGCATGATCCAATGTTGCAGCAAAACCGCACTTTTAGAGTGCAAAAGTTGAAAAGGGAACTTGATAACCACCAAAACCTTGAATGGAGTAAAATTGCACCGGCAACTAGTATCTAAGCCTATTGTGAGTGATTCAAAGTTTTTAGTTTGGTGTGCTGTATTGCTTCAAGCGCATCAAGAACAAGCCACATATTTCTTAAGCTCGCTGTTTTGCCTCATGACTCATATACCATTTAAAACGTTTCGGTGACTGTTTTTAACGATGTTGAAAACAGTTGGAGCTGAGCCAAACCGTAGAACTCAAGCCTCTCCAGTCCCAGTTCTCTTGACCGCGACGACAAACCGATAACTAAACGGAAATAGAAACGTAACTAATGTTTAAATAGTTCGAAAAAACTATTACCCGAGCTCAAGACATACGAATTGACATCTTTTTCGAGTCGCACAGTGTTCGGAATTAATATTTGAGCATTTTGTGCAATGAGAAGGCATGGGCAAAGTCCTACTTACCCCAGCTGAGGTCAGAAAAAAAAAACCCCCAAAAAACCAGACATCTCGTTCGTTTAACGACGAGCAGTATTTCTACTTCACCTTGATGGAAGACTGGTTCTTTTACTTTCCAGAGATCGACCGAGAGAAGTTATCACGTTATCAAAATAGTTAATATTATACACAATTGACGAAACTTTATGAAACAAATAATGTATTATTGCATTATAATGATAATAATAATAATAATAATTATTTTATTGTCACGTGATCTTTTTATGAAATATTTTTGTTATCACTTGAGTTTCAAACTTTTTTTTAAAACAAGTTTATCTGTTTAAATTATTTCTTCGGATTTCGAAGCATTTTCTAGAAATCACTGAAGAGAGGGCGAACAGTGTACAGGACGTTTATCACTATTCGATCGGATCGAAATCTCATATTTCCACGACTTAGTCATATTTTGGCACTACGATTGAAAATTGATCAGTCAAAGTGTGAACTGTGAGGGCAAAAACTTGCCAAGAATTTGCAGATCTCAGGTTTTATTAGCGGGATTAAAACTGAGTTTACGATTAAAACAATATCAGAGATATTCAGATCTATGGATTCAGTATTGGACGAGAAAACACATGTAGAATACGTGAGCTGTCCAGAGATAGTCAGATGTTTGGTGGAGGTAGAACACATTCGAGAAACTGTACTGGTTTTAGTCTTGTTGAATAGTGACAGCAACACAAAAGGACATTGTTATGTCAAGGAGCTCAGTCACGGCATTTTGAGTTATTTTTGCCACGAACAAAATTTTACCTCTGAATTTAACGAAACCTGAAGATAGCAGTTTACTAAGATAGAAAAAGATCAAAGAGATAGTGATAAACCATAAGGGAACAAGGATGGAAGGATGGAGAAGATTGACACGGATTACAAACGAAGAACTGGAAAAAATAAGGCTAAATTTTTCAAGATGCCCAAACTTTTACCTCTTGCATACCCGATTATTTACGATGAGGTAATTTTACCAAGCAATAAAACGGTAAATTCCTTACCTTTCAGTTCCAGTGGAGTTTAGTCTTCTAAGATACTGATTTTTGCAGACTGATTGCATAACTGACTCTACTAAATAAGTTTAACTGGCGAGCTCGTTTCTTACAGACAGACAGAAAGACTTTGTTCCGAAGGAATTTGTGGCATTAGTCTGTTTAATTTGAAAAAGAATAGAAATATAAGAATAGAAAGCAGACAAATACGACACATTAGAGATGTATGTAAATTGACGCCGGAGAACTATTTGATCCTGCGACAACATTTAAGATCTTCAGCCGCTGACAAAAACTGCAGGGTCAATTTAAGTTGATATTTTAAGTCCGTTAGGTTCCACCAACGGGGCGACATGAAATAAAAGAAACCAAAAAAAAAAAAGCTCCCGTGCATTTAAATTCTGTCGTAATATACTAATTCAATAGAAAATGTTATGAAAAAGTTGGAGGCAGGTTTACTAAAGTGAGAACGAAAAACAAAGCTACCATCATTGTTGCTACATGGTCACTCCGTTCAGACAACATTAAATCATTTTCTTTTAGCTAGTTACGTGATAACAGGTCATGGGAGATCTGCAAGAGTAAGCTAATCGTGGTTTAATGTTGTCATTATTTTAAACCCTTAAGGGAAACGATTTTGAATTAAGGGTTAATGGTTATCTTTTGAATGCACAATCTTCACTATTTTTCAGTCTTTTTCCAATAGAGTTATCTGCCATTAGTGACACTTCCAATCATTTTTATTGTTCGACAAAAAGCCGATTTTGATAAGTGCAATCAAAATCTTCCTCGATTTTAATAGATGACTGAAAATAGATTAAGTTAATGACCAAATACTAACCCGGAGGCTTGGAATTTCTAAGTGTTAATGTTAGTCAACCTGCCAAAACTCTTAAAGTTGAACTTGTTTTTGGTGCATAGCTTTGAAGGCTTGTTTATCTCAACGAAACATTACTTTATCAGCTTGATGGATGGATCTCGCGTGTTATTAAGGAGTAAGAACTTTCATCTGTGTATAAGTATTCACGAGAGTGTATAGAAAGCGGAACGAACTATAAGATAACTATGCGAGTAAATTAGTACCGGCAAAACAATGGTCTCCTTTCATCACTGACTATAGTTTGGTCTTCAATTAAAGTTTGTTTTTAAACTTCTGTCTCAGAGGCGTCACTGAAACAACGATACAAGGGTGACAATGTTAAAAACAAATACAATACAAATAAGGCCCTTAGGGGCATAATTAAATCAAACATTTGCTCTTTACTTTAGGGAAAGGTCTTTTAATCTAACTTTAGATCTTGTTGTAGATAAGCACAAAAAAATTATTATAAGATTAAAGACGTTTTACCGACAATGCAAAGGCCAATCATAATTCAGCTTAATCGCTTTTTCAAGATTTAAGTTTAAAAGATTAATATCTGTTTTTTGGAATTGTGTGTTAGAATTTTGTGACACAGAAATTTTTGTGCGATACACTGAGGAAACCTGTTTCACGCCGAATTGCTGTTCCAAAAAACAAGGGCAGCTATTAACTTTGTTACTATTTTTTTGCAACATAAATATATAACTCTTTATTTTGAGCTTCTTTGAGTCCTTGAATAAATTCAAGTTAATGATAAAGTTATCACGCGTTTATGTGTTAATTCTTTTTTTATGATGATAAATGCCCTAAAAAATGATGTCTTAAGTTGCTAATAGTTTACTGTGCGCAACTCCACTACCATTGAGATACTTGCAGTGGTCTACGTGCTTTAAAAGCCTAGCTTTCAATGAATTTTCATGAAAACAAAGGAGTAATAAATACTGCAAAAATCTGTTGGCACTGAAAAGTTTAACCTCGTTCCCAGGGACCCTGGGAACGAGGTTGCGAAGAGCTGCAGTTGAAAAACGCTCCAACGTGTTTTAATTGCGCGTCTTAGAAAAATGTCCAATGACCAGCTTATCAGGCATTAAGCTGAATTCAATATTTCATGCTAATTTCAAAGTGCAGCGCTTCTTACAGAGCTTATATCCTTCAAAAGGGCAAGCTTATTTTAAAGGAATTACGTCACGGTTTGTGCATCTTCAAAAGTTTAGCCTAAATTTTTCAAATTGGTCGTTTGTAATCTGTGTTAGTCTTATCCATCCTTAACCATCCTTGTTCCCCTATAGTTTATTTTAATCTCTGTGGTGTTTTTCTATCTTAGTAAACTACTATTTTCAGGTTTCCTTCAGTTCAAGGGTAATTTCGTACGTGTACAAAATAACTCAAAATGCCGTAACTGAGGAAGAGGGTTAGTGTTCGAATCCTAAATGATTTGAAGCTGTATTCATCTTATCTGTTTCTTCACTTTTCTATTAGGGACCATGGCCTCGTCTTAAATGATTTCCCTGGTTGATTTCCAGAAGCAAGAAAAAAATATATTTTACCAAATGTACTTGAGCCTCAATTAGAAAAAAAGATGGCGGAAAGCAGCATAAGTAACAGGAAGAAGTTTTCTTCATGTACACTGACACAGAGCGTCTTTGCTCATTCTAAGCCCCAGAGTCCTTCGTTTCTGTAAGAAACAGAGGGCCCTGAGTTTGAGAAAGCTATCCGAAAACTGTAATCGAGAAAGAGGGACTTGAACAGTGAAAACCAAATTAAAATGAGCTGGATCTCTTAAATGCCAGGACGGGCGATCAGCAATGGCAACATACAAACAGCGATTATCAAACATATATCAGAAATGCAAGACTCATCAAATAGATCGGGAGATGGGTGGGGAGGGGGGGGGGGGAACTCCAAAATATGGGATTTTGAGGTTCTCGATCCTTAAATAGGGCATCATTTTTGCCCCTGTTGGCATTGAGTTCCCGGTGTGATTCTTAGATAGGGTACCTCAATTGTATCAGCTATAACAGCAGTGCGTAAATGTCCAGCTAAACGAAAACCAAATGATCTATTAAAACTGAACTATCCGTTAACCTCCAATGGTACAGAAACAAAATAAAGCTGACACGCTCACGCTATTCTTAGTTTCTGTTTTTCCCTTCACCGAGGGGGTTATTGTTCGGGTCTGGGCTTTAAATAGGGTATTAATTTTCAATTGCTTCATCCTTAAATAGGGTCAGGGTTTAAGACCCTTCGCGGCACACGCATATCCGAAATTTACGGAAGCACCTTCCTGGGGGGTCAAATAGCTGCAAAAGCGCTATATTTCTCCTTCCTGCGCGCTAAGCTACCATAAGCTTTGATAAACAAAAATAAACTACCTCCACCTATACCCTTGATAGATTCTGGCATCGACACTATGGCTGACGCCTTCCCAGATGCCTTACTGTGACCACCTTTCTCGAGGCAGCTATTTACAACACTACTCAATGAAACTGAAGACCTGGCAGCATGTGTAAGGTCATCGATCTCATTTCACAACGAATTTATCTCAGTATATATTTTCCATTGACTCATAATCACGTGAACTCACGTGTTCATAATTAAACCTAATCAAGGTCTTTTTGGTGCGCTTCGGCGGTACATCAATCTGGCTGAGCCATGGTTCGTGTCTGATATGCCACCGAAGCGTACCAAAAAGGACAGTAGACACGGCTTCCGACTGGCTAATTGCGAATTTGGGTACGGTCCTGGCCTGGGGTCCGTTTCTCGAAAGCTCCGGAAACTTTTCGGGCCCGTAAAGCCATTTTTAAATAATCTGTATCTAAAAACGGAGAGGTGTACACGCCTGAAACGTCTCAGTGTATGGAGAGAACCTCTGTTCATATTAAGAATGTGTAAATAAAACAGCTCTGTAGGTCTCAAGGTTTGAGATTCTGCTACGGCTTTCCTGGTGTGAAAACTTTTTTGGACCTTCGAGAAACCGGCCTCAGGTACGGTAAATGGGTAAATTATTGCAGTGCATGTCTGACTACCAGTCCAGTCAGGTAGCTTGCCATTACCTTAAAAATTCATCGGCAACCATCCAGACACTTGAATACAGAGAGCGGCACTGTCTTGCAAAGAACACTACACGTTTCTTCGGATACCATTAACCCAATGCATAGGCCATCCCACAAGATTTGCAGTGGGTGTTAATCCCGGTAATAAATGACAACTATGCGTGGCTGAGACAAAATATTTGACCTTCAAGGGTGGAAAGCCGTGGGAAGACTACATGATTTTTTTGTGGCAGGAGCATGTAAAAGATTTCCTTGTTGAATTAGCGCACTGTTGGAATTTTATAGGGCTATAAACGGTCATTTATTTGAAGCATTTTTTTTAATCAACCTCGTTTTATCACATTTTATCGATTCCGCTACACCACCTCTTAACTATTTCAGCTGCTTAAGATGATGGCAATGTGAGATAAATTGGAATCCTATTGAGATAGTTTTATAAACGAGGTTGGAATTCGTGTGTGAGCTAAGTGATAATCAGAGATACCGAAATTAGCACAATTACTAAGCAAATCTGGACATTTTACAGACCGATTTCTGTCCTCACCATCTTAGCTGGGGGTAGGACAAACACGGTGAAAGAAGCTGAAATTTCGGAAGATTTTTGACATTTTATATCTCCGCTAGAATTGTTTCAATTTCAAAAATTTTAAATTCCTTTTATACAAATCTGCTAAACGAATTTTCGACGTAAAATTAGGCAGCCAGGATTTGTTTATTTTTATTTCGTATCAGTAGCCTGGGTTTATTTGCGTTACGTTTGCTAAATTATCAAATATTGAACATTGAAAAGCAGACTAAAGAAATTCCTCGTAGCAGACTCGTATCATCATTATTTGCCAAACCACATGCTTCTGAGGAACGTAAAGAGGCGACCTGTTTAAGGGTTTTCCGCTCTCAGTCATTCAACACGCTATCAAGTGAAGACTTCGCCGGAAGAACACGCTGATACACTTTATACTAAAGTATTTCAAGTGACTGAACTTCGACACTAGTTGAAAGCAATGCGGATCAGTGTTACAACAAGAGGGCTGGTGATCACGATAGATGCTAACGCTAAGAGCGGTCAGTTTTAGAGCTATTCAGTTGCTTCTAACTTGGCAATAGGACACTTGCAATTCTCTTGGCAAAAATGTCAAATTTAACGGGAACGAACCACCAACAATGCTATCGAAGTGGATATAGAATCGCTCAGACCTTTACATGTACTCCCCGGATATGTTACCAAACGGCGTACCTTAAAAGTGACCTCAGTTTTGTCCAGCTGCGAATAACAGAGTTAGGTCATCGTCTCTCAAACCATCATGGTACCTTTATCCGTTCAAGCTCCCGTTCAGAGGCGTTCTAATTTGACATCGAATCGCGTCGTACTTCCAGATAGTTCCCGTTTATTCTCATTTGAAACCGACACGGCGTCAGTCCTAGACTTAATATTTTTTCTTAATTATAATTTGTTTTTATTTATATTGCATGACCATTAAGTAATTATCTCCTCGAGTGTTATAAGCTTTTCTGGCTTTTCAAAGTTAGACAAACTGACTGCCCACAAGTGACTTGCCTTTCGATTGTTTTACAAAATAACCATTGATGTAAGGACTCCAAACTCGAGTTGTTCTCATAGTTCCGAATTTGTTTGCTTGCAAAATCATACTCTTTAATTTGTTCCAACTTGTTGCAGACCACTTCGAAAAATAAGGAGAGATTCAACGAGGCCGTCTCTATATTTAGATCGCGTTTCCCCGCACCGTAAACATTGCTAGCATAGCGCCAGTATTGCGGTCTACGTCTGGTCGTTAAGACACCAGCGAAAACAAACTGTTATTCAAAGAAAGAGGATTAGACCACATAAACATTTGGTTAATGCTTTCTTGCCTTGCGTCGAGACTTCTACACTTTAGATGCTTTGCTCGACTGCGGGATTTTAAGTTTGATCAGCCGACAATCTTTAGGGGGATTTTTTTTTTTACTAAAAAGGACAACAGTCGTTGAAAGCTGATATGGTATAAACTGGTACCCTCTGTAAAACATTTGGCTTAACTACCGCCTACCAAAACATATATCTCGCAACGATCCGATTAGGTTTGAAAAAGCATTTCTCGGCATTCCATAGAAAGTTGTCTCTTTCTACGTGACAAATGGCCTCGAGAAGCTTCAGTCGAAAGTTCATAACAAGGATTTCACGTTGACTAAATTAAAATCTATTAACATAGGCACAGACCATGCAGCAACGAGTTAGCGATAAAACGTTACGCAATGTTAAAAGATCTTTTTCGAAAGTTCATGTTTAAAATTAAAGTAGTTAGGGCTTATCGTGGAATTGATTCCAGCGCTAGCACGATTCCATAAACAGAATTTAGTGAACCTTGCCCTTGTTGTATTGCGTATACAGTTAGAAATGCTGTAGGGCAAAGGTTTATTCGAGCGACTTTAGCACTCGGAGAAGATCCGAGTTGAGCTCATAATCAGCGTTACAAGGTTACGAAGCTCACTGATATTCACTTACTTAAAGAGTCTCCTGTATAATATACTCATTCAAGCAAGAATCTAGCCAAATCACAAAGAGATGTTCAATGGTGCACCTTTTCAACAACGGAAACACTCGTTAAACGCATCAACAAAAGGGCCAGCTACAAATGAACTCGCAGTTTCGTCTCGTAAACGTACGTAAGAAGCTGCTCATTCGGTACGGGCCGGGCCATTCTTAACAGAATTCGTATCTCTCCCAGACAGCTGGCATTTGGTTATGCGACAAGGCCAATTACTGTAATCGAAAGCAGTAGAGCTGGCGATGAAAGTATGCCATGAACGCAAGCGATAAAGAATGCTCTATTTGCAGAGTACTTAGCTATAAAACCAATGCACCTTACCCATGCTCCATTTTGAACACCTGGAGTGAACTTTCCCTTATCAGTTATTCGTGGACCGCGAGATCTCTCCAAGAGCTATAATACAACCACCGCACTGGGTCGAGTGAGCGCAAAGAAAACTTATTTCATCACAGTCGTGCCTGCTTTCTGTTAATCGCTCGAATAGAGGATTAATCTCTTTTAGCCGAAGCTTCTCAATTTTCGTCCCTAAGTAATTGAGATCTTAACATACGAGATAAAACCGAGTTTGACTCGAGATGGGTGGCTTGTGTTGTTTTAACCTTGCAAAACTCATTGATTACAAAAGAAACGATCAGGTTTGATCAAAGGTCCTGCCTAAGGATCGTACGTAAATAACTCTAACTATCCCAAAGATTATTTTGTTGGAGAGAACCGCCCGAGATTTCGTCTTAGACAAGGGAAATTTAATTTAACTTCATTAACTCAAAGCATCCGACACCACTATCGAATGACATCCCAAATGGCTAAAATTAAACGGTTAATCTTTATTATATTTATTAATTCCCAAGAACTGTCAGTTTTAAAAAACGTTTAAAATGTCCCGTGTGGTAAAAGACTTGTTCCTACTCTCCTACACTCAAAACACAGTTCTCCTATTCCATTACTTGGTAATGGTTGAAACTCTCCACTCATAATAGTTAGCAAAATACTAATTTTAGAAATATTTATATTACAAAATATATTATATGATACTTTGATTCTAGAATAAGTTTTCAAAGCTTTGGTTGTTTGTTTTCTCTTCAGCTATACCGTATTGAAGCGGTAATCTTCCACCTACGTATCACTAACAGCTAACACTTGCTTTTGACGTCAAGCCTTGACGAGGAAATACTAGGCGTAGTTTTTCACCGCGAGCCAACCCAAACAGGATAAGCTAGGTTGACAAACGGACGACACTGCAATTTGATTGGTTAATGTCAAGAGAACATTCCTTCGGGAGAAAATTTTTCGCGCGAATCTTGGCTACTTATTATAGGAAGGCGGACTTGAATTCAAGCGAGAACAGTTCAAATTGGAATTATTTTTCGCAGCCGAGTTAGTTTTTTATCCCGTGAAATCCGTAAAGAATTTGGAAATAATTAAATTAGGGACGGAAAGGGATCTGCCTGTTACATAATTATTATTACGAACACAGCAAAAAACAAAGGCCTTCGGCCTTGAAAACAACAGAAGTTTCACGTTACAAGCAAAACAGCACCTGATGGCGCTGTTAGGAAATTTTGTCTCAGAAGCCGACCAACTCTGGCTTAAATTCGTTGGGTGCTTAGTAGAAAGTTTCACTAACAAATTCTTTTCAAAATAGTTTCTTTTAAAGACAAAAGTGCAAACACTTAGCCAACACTTTTAGTTGTTGCAAACCTTGTTATCAAATCATATACACTAATGAGGTTTCTTAAAAGCTTTTCAGTTCCGTCCAGTATCGATGAAAAGAGTGCTTAAGCTCATGGAAGTCAATATTAGCTGTGTTCCTAAAAATGGAATTGTCTAGACCAAGATTAATAAAGACATGACGAATGAATAAAATAAAAACAGACCACAGAGTTGTGATTCATAGCACGAAAAAGATCCTCATGCCTTTTGTTTTCCAGGAATTTCTAAAAACCCTTAAACTTTTTTTGTCCAGTTAGTTCAACCAATCAAAGGGCAGCGTTCGCAACCACGAAGTGCCTCTTTATGTTCATTTCCACTAATAACGAAAAGTTTGGCGGAATTCACCCATCGTCGTGCTAGAACTTGACGCGAAATTAAGTTAATTACGAAGGAGGGGTAGCATAGTCCAGCAGAACTCAGGGGTAGAGGCAAAGACAAGAATATGCCCAGCCCGTAATGATATTTCTCCCTGGGGGATGTTTTTCAAAGGCTTTATCTTTCGGAGTTTTCATAATCATAGGTTTTGGTCGAAAGCGATTCATTTCGCTGGCAATACTTTCGATGGGATTAGACCAGAATAAACCCCCCCCCCCTGGTCTTTATACCACAAGAAAGTAAACGGACCCCCCTTGAAAGGAAACAACTACAGAAAGGCCTAAGCTTTCCTACAAAAGACAAAAAACAAATTATCTGTTAACAGCGGTCAAGTGGAAGCTGCGTTCATCTAAGGAGGCGAGTTTAACAGCATGTAGCAAAACCATGCTGCCTTAAGTCAAGGCTAAGACGATTACGCTCAGAGGTCACGTATAGCTGAAATCCTCGATCAGCTCTAAGAGCTTGTGAACACTTTCTTGTAACACTTGCATGTCGCTTTCCAAAGTCTGCAACGTGGATAACAACTGCAACAGAGCAAATAGAACCCAGTGTTAAAGTCGTACCACTAACAAATAAGTCGTTTTCCCTTACTATGCCACGTATACGGACGCAGCTAAAATTAGCCGCTACGGTACAAGTTATTACATGTGCGGTTTATCGCGGAAGGGGTTAAGGAGCTGTAAATGGCTAGGATTATGGCAGCGTGTGTACGTGAGATAATGAAGCTAAAAAAAGAATCCAAAAAAGCCGAAAATCATGCAGAACATCAGCTCGAGGAAACGGAAAAGATTTTAAGAACAGCTATTGAATAAGAACGAATTTGAGGCCAACCCGAGAATTCACACGAAGAACAGCCACGACTGATATGTTGAGGCAATGGTCGAAAAGATAATAATTCGCGATATAATTTTTGAAAAGGTATCTTTAAATTCGATCCTCAAACAAAAGGTTCCTTCTACGTGAACCCTTCCGGCCTTTTCGAACAATAAATTTCAGTATACAAGGACTCTTCATTTCCTTCCAACAGCATTGACTGCGTTGTCCAAAAAGAGCAACAAATTTGTTATATAACGTATCTGCCATGATGCGTGCCTGTACACGTTTGGACACTGAGAGTTTAGTTGTTTGTGAATAAATGTCCGCGGATGACTTCAAACACTTTGTGTGTGATAACTAGATGACAATAATAAGAGCACCTAGAAGGCTTGTTCGTTTTCTTGTTACATAATAGTTACACAACGCTCTCTCGTGGTACATGTACACCATGGAATATCCTACGAGTCGCTTGTATTTTCTGGGTATACACACTCGCATAAACGCTCGTGTGTACTCCAAGAAAATACAAGTGACAAGTGGGAAATATTCCATGGTATTCCACGAGAGAGCGTTTCATAACTATTTTATACCACGTCACAGAAAATACAGTGGTCAACACAATGAATGACAGGCACGTGGCGCACGATGGAAAGGTTAGATGTAATACCGTCGAATATACAACGGCTTTCCTGTATTCTGATTGGCTGTATTTTCTATGGCATGGTATAAAAGGTTTTACTTTTGTACTGTTGTAGTTCGATGCTTCTATTTTTTGGCGGTTTAATGAGTTTGTTGCTAACTGTAACCCCTGAACTGACCCTCTAAAAGAGAGCTTAGTGGCCCTAGAAATTTTATATATAAACCTTTTTTTTTTACATTGTTAACTACGTTACAACTGTTAATAAGGGTTGCTACCATTCGTTTTCATGAAATGTGTGAATCTCACAGTTTGATCAAACAAGTGCCGTGGCTTTTCGAGCGAAAAAACGTAAGTTGCAGAATCGTGGTGCGAACTAATTTAAGAACGAGTTGCGGAAAAGTTAACTACGATCCCAATAAAACGCAATAAAAGCTATCCCTGCTCTCTAATCTGCTGCAAGTGAGGGCGATGCTGCGGATGTTCGAGTTTTTAAAATTGTTCCGTACTAGCCGAAGTAAACTGTAATAACTTCATGGGATGGCTGTCCTTAACTTGATATAGGCAGAGAACAGGGATAATCACACAAAAATGATAGGATCAAACAACACACACACAAAAAAAGAAAAAGAATCATTTCAGTAATAGTGTTATCTCCCTTAGTCAACAAGACATAAACGCGTTGTTGCTTCTTGCGAGATTGCCATGTCTGCCAGAAATAGGTCCGCGAAGCGTACATACGTGAATGATTATTTCGATATTTAAGCATCATAAACAGCACTCTTCTCAATCACAAGTCAAACTCTTACCTGTTTTTGACTGGAATTTTTTAACTTCTCCACGCTATTGCTTTCTCGTCGTTTAAACTTGGGAACCCTTCTCTTTACATCAGGGAAGTGTTTCTCACAAGTCTCCGCCAGTTCTTCTCCGTATTGTTGAAGCTTATCCATACTGTCTTCTATGAGCGTCACAGCTTCCACTATCTTCAAAGAAACAATCAGAGAAACGTTTAGACCCTCAACCTTTTCACGCTCAGCCAAAGTCCTCAAAAGCATTATAAACAGCGCCACGTAAAGGCACTGTTCAGTAGCTTCCATGAAAGTACAGCTCAATGGCTTTCACTTGAATGGTCACACACTAGGGTTCCCTCCGCAAACTTAAAAGTTAGAACCACCTTGCACAACATAATAAACAGTACCACATGAAAGTACTGCTCAATAGCTTTCACTTGAATGGTCACACACTAGGACTTGTAAGTAAGAACCGCCTTGTACTACATATCTCAGGTTAGGATTTCATCGGCAGACGTACAACTACAGTGTAATAAACAGTTATATATAAAGGTGCTGTTCAGTAGCTTGACCATGAATGACTACACACAAGGGTTTTCCACCTTGTACAACATAATAAGCATTATTACATGAAAGAACTCCACAAAAGCTTTTATTTGAATGGTCACCAACTTTGTTAGCCGATGTTAAAATATACTTTAGAATACACAGCTATCGTCGGTCCTTAAAAATTAGCCATGTGAGCGAATACAAAGACTGAATTATACCTTACGACTATAATCTGATGAATACCTGCTGCAACAAAAATTCATCTGATCATCTTGATTTCCTAAAAGAAACCGCGCCGTTGATCTTAAAATCAGGCGTACCTAAATGGAATCTAAATCGCTCTTCATCCTAACAATAGCCAATCTTCAAAGGCAATTAGTTTGACATGACACTCAAATTCTCCCAACTGCCTCGGCGAGAAATCAGGGAGACAAATGAGGAGATTTTGTTGTTCACATCGCGGATAAAACGGGATGAAAGTACTTGACACGTTAAAACAATCATGATATCTACGCTTAACAACGTTCGAAGATTGTTGAGGAACAGTAATGACTCAGTTTTAATCAAGGGTGTTTTCCGTGATTTCTGTCGGCTCAAACCTGAGAACTTGATACGTCCTTTCCCAATCTTCCTTTATGCCAATTACCCGTGTCTCCAGGACTATCCACTGTTCAACTTTCTTTGTTATTTAAAGGATAAATCTTTTCAAATCGAAGTAAAATCCTCGACAAATCCCCTTCTCACTAAGAGTCCCTCCATTCTGTTGTTGATTTCGTAAATATTCGCTTTAAACACGCCTTAAAGAGGCTCACGTACAAATCTACCTTTAAATTGAAGGAAACCTGAAAATAATAGTTGACTAATGCAGAAAAACACTAAAGAGATAATAATAAACCATAAAAGAACAAGGATGGTTGTGGGTAAAGAAGATAAACACGGATTGCAAACGACGAACTCGAAAATTTCGGTTTAACTTTTCAAGATGCGGAAACCGTGACGTAACGTCTTTGACGCGGAAAACTTCCAAATAACATCATGTGATACTACACGCCATCCGAAAGATCGNAACTCCATACAAACTCTACTACAACAGAATGGTAAAAAAGACTGCCCTCTGCTCTCTTCTCTCTCTGCTGTTTCCAGAACGCAATTTCCTAGCCAGCTAACTGGGACAACCAGACACAAGTCAACTGTGTCCACTAACTTGCTCTCAGACATCTTAGCAAAACTGTCAGCGAAAATTGTTGCAGAAAGAACAATAGTTTACCTTCCTGTATGATTTCGAGACAATTAACAGAATTTGACAACTCAAAGGCGTACTAACGTCATATGATCAAGACCCTCGCATTTTGCGGCCACAAGACCCATTTGACGTGGACTTGCAAGGATCAAAAAAGGCTGATTGCCAACAACTACATGTTCATGTACAAGAGCGTTGACGTGGTTCTTGACCTTGCATGAACGTTTAGCAAACATAATTAACAATATGACTTTGGCCACAAATGCTCCGTCTAGACTCGAACGCCATCAGTTGGGCCGGAAACAATTTCTTAACAAGATATTCTATCCTCTACGGTAAAAGTATACGATAAAAACAACCACAACGACAACGAAAAAACTAACATACTTTTCCCGGCGCGCCGTTTAATCATTTACCTTTTCTGTTGAAGCTTGTGAAAGTTCCGACGAGAGAGAAATTTCTTTATTTTCCTCGTTCGACAGCAACGTCATTCGCTTCTGCGTCTGTAAGAAAATGGAAAAAACAACTTGGTTACAGTTTTAAATCTCTTCATAGTCCGTCTCTGATGAATTATTTGTAATTCAAATCACCTGTTCTTTGAGCTCGTTAACCAGCTTGTCATTCTCAGCTTTGAACTTTCTCACTTCTGCGTCACTGCCGGCTGTGGGTGATAACTCGAGCAGCGCGATATTGGCGTCCTTCTCTGAGATGGTGGCAAGTAACGCATTTTGCCTGGAAAAATTCAAAAAAAGTGTTTAAAATTCACATCCAAACAGAGGTACCAGTGTAAAGCTAATAAGGTAATGTCTACATACGAGCCAATTGGCCCATCAGGTCAGGGCTTAACTCCGGTTTCAGTAGCATGATGCGACTAGGAGTATTTCTACTCCCCCCTGGATGGGATGCTAGTCCATCGCAGGGTTACCCTCCCAGCATTACATTCGACGGTACCCCCCTCCCCCGCCGGCACCCATTTATACACCTGGGTGGAGAGA